GGTCAGAGTCCTTGAAAGTCAGCTCCAGGTAGGGCTCTGCAGTAGAGTCTGAGGCTGACCATTGATCACTTTAAGGGGCCTGGGCTGGGGACCTGAAGCCAACCTCAGAGCTTGATGTCAGGAGTGTAGGGCTGGAGTACCAAGGGACCATGTTGTGTGGAGTGATTCAGCAACTCTCTAGACCTGCAGGACACAGGACAGAGTTTGAGAAAACTGGGGATGCTGCAGGAATGGAGTGGAGGCCGGGGGCTACGAGAGGGCTGAGCTAGTAACAAGCTGACAATAGCACCAGGTCTGAGTTCATTTTCCCTTCCCCAGTTTGGTCAAATACCCAAGGCAAACGATTCCCTTCACAAAGCAAGCCACGGCAGCACTGAATCCTCCCTACCCTCTGGAAAGCAGAGGCAACCAGGGCCTGAGGCAAAGCCCTTGAACAGCAAGGCAAGTCAAGCAAAACTCCAGCAAGCTGGAGGAAGGTTGAGAGCATAACTCTGGAGCCCAGCATGGGGAAAGGAGGCTGCGGGTCCTGAGCTGAGACGCTGGCTGAGGAACACAGGGGCGAGGGCAGGCACACAGACGGCTCTGTGGGTTCCTATGTCAGTAATATCTTTGGTACCAGAAAGCTGTGGGTGCACTGGCAGCCACTATTAAGCCTTCCATGCCTCCCTCCACCCTCCTAAAGGAAACACCCTCCCTTTAGATAACCCTCGTTTGGGGTGACCATCCATGCAGTCTCTCAAGCACCTCTTGAGTATATTCCAATGAGACAAGGATTTCTTAGGGTGAACATTGGACCAAGTATGTCGCTGGAATAAAGTTAGAAAGGTTTTGAATGGTCATCCTGTGGAAGAATGTCTTACATGAAAAAGCTTGTCTAACTTTATCCCGAAGACATAATTGGTCCAATCTGCTGCTCTGCCTTCTGCTCCCTGTCCTACCTGCCCTCCCCCTCCCTGGTTTGCTGCATGCCCTGCACAGAGGCTGCCCCGGGCTCGTGCTCTGAGCCCGTTACTTACGGAGGGGGCTCGGGGCTCCCCTCTGCTCCCACAGTCCCGCTTGAACGGCTCTGGCCTGGAGGTCCGGGCCCCCCTGCAAGAACACGAGTCAGCTCTGGCAAGATCAGCGCCCGGAGACCTCCCCGTGCCTCAGTTTCCCCGTGAGAAGGGGACTAAAGCCTGCGGAGATCACTCACTAGACAAGAAGCAGGGCCCGGGGCTGCAGGCGGCTGCAGCTCCTCCGCCCAGCCCCGTCTCCAGCCCACACCAGCCCGATCCTTAGTCCTTCGGCACCTTGCAGCCAAAGGGACGCGGTGCCTTTAAGAGGAAAGGCGCGCGAGCCCTTTAAGAAGAAGGGGGGCGGCCGTCTGGACACGGAGTCTGGGACGAGCCGTGGCGGCGATCGCGGAGCCCCGCGTCGTCCCCGCCTTCAGCCTCCGCGCAGCGCCG